ATTTTGAACGGAATGCGGTGCGATTTCTGTCCGAACCGCATGCGGGTTCCCTCGCCGCTCCTGTGTGAACCCAGGCTGAAGTCACAATGACAAGCCTGGGTTCATACAGGAGCAGTGCTGGAAACCGCATGTTATTCAGACAGGAATCGCACCACATTTCCGTACAGTTACTGTACACATTGAGCGAAAATCGAACGTTGTGTTCACTTACGATTACAATTTTCTAGCTTGCACCTTCAGGTTCTTTCTTCTGAATAGTCGGAGTTGGCTGTTGAAAGCACTATACTAACAATCAGATAATTGATGGGCGGGCACAGTGACTAAGCGGTTAGCACTTCCGCTTGGCAGTACTAGGGTCGTTGGTTTGAATCCCTCCTGCCTGGAGTTTGCATGTTCTCCCTGTGCCTGCGTGGGTTTCCTCCAGGTACTCTGGTTTCCTCCCACACTCCAAAGACATGCTGTTAGGTGAATTGGATCCTGTCTAAATTGTCCCTAGTATGTGTATGTATGAATGTGAGTTAGGGACCTTAGATTGTACACCCCTTGAGGGTTAGGGACCTTAGATTGTACGCCCCTTGAGGGTTAGGGACTGATGTGAATGTACAATATATATGTAAAGCGCTGCGTAAATTGACGGCGCTATATAAGTACCTGAAATAAATAATAATCGACCTAGCATTTCTCGTATGGAATTTTTCTTCCAATTTTCCTATAGTGTGTACCCAGTTTTAGGCCTCAATCACACAGGTGTACCATGATGTATGCCCAGTGCCAGGGTTGGCCGCACAGGGCTGCACAAGTGTTCTGTGCATCCCCGTCCAAGTAGTCCCATTCATTTCAATTAGGATGCAGCGCCTGCACAGACAAAGCTGCTGCTCCCATTTAGACAGCCATGCAAGTGCACGGCCATGAACACATCCAGGGTTGTGCACCCACACAGCTGTCAAAATGAGAGTAGCGGCTGTGTCCTTTGCAGGCGCTGTGTTTCTATTGGAATGAATGGGACTGCCTGCATGGGGAGGCACAGAACACTTCTTCATCCCCATGCAGGTAAACGTGGCCCTCACATGGGCATACGCTATAGTACACCTGTGTGAATGAGGCCTTATTTGTTCTGATTTGCTGGTTTTCAGGGGCACTGTTGCAGTAGCCAGTGTCCCACAGCTGCACCCTGGGAAGGCTACGTCACCAGTGCTTCTTGTGTGTAAACTGTGAGGTTTTAAGGGGGTGGAGAGTCTATGTTTTTTTTTCTTGTTTCAAACACCATGGCAACATATAGACCAGGGTTTTCCAAACTTTCTAAACAAAGCACCAGTTTACTGTCCTTCAGACTTTTGGAGGGCCGGACTGTGACCATCAGGAGCACAAAATGCCCCATGATTGGTTTTAGTGGGAGTAATAGTGCCCCATTGTTGGTATCAGTGGAAAGAATAGTGCCGTATTGTTGGTGTCAGTGGGAGGAATTGTTCCCCATCGTTAGTGTCAGTGGAAGGAATAGTGAACATCCCTGGTGTCAGTGGGAGGAATAGTGCTCCATCCTTGGTGTCCATGGGAGATTCAGTGCCCCATCGCTGGCGTCAGCTGGAGGAATAGTGCCCCATGATTGGCATCAGTGGGAGGAATAGTTCTTCATCGTTGGTATCTGGGGAAGGAATAGTGCCCTATCATTGATATCAGTGGGAGGAATAGTAATCCATCACTGGTGTCAGTGGGAGGATTAGTGCCCCATTGTTGGTGTCGGTTTGAGGAATAGTGCCTTATCATTGGTGTCCATGGGAGATTCAGTGCCCCATCATTGGTGTCTGTGGGAGATTCCCTGCCCCATCGCTGGTGTCAGTGGGAGAACTAGTGCCCCATCATTGGTATCAATGGGAGGAATGGTGCCCCATCATTGGTGTCAGTGGGAGTTGTTGATATAGTCTATGTCCCACAGCTGCACCCTGGGAAGGCTACGTCACCAGTGCTTCTTGTGTGTAAACTGTGAGGTTTTAAGGGAGTGGAGAGTCCATGTTTTTTTCTTGTTGCAAACATCATGGCAACATATAAACCAGGGTTCTCCAAACTTTCTAAACAAAGGACCAGTTTACTGTCTTTCAGACTTTAGGAAGGCCGGACTGTGACCATCAGGAGCACAAAATTGCCCCATCATTGGTTTTAGTGGGAGGAATAGTGCCTCATTGTTGGTATCAGTGGGAGGAATAGTGCCGTATTGTTGGTGTCAGTGGGAGGAATGGTGCCCCATCATTGCTGTCAGTTGTGGATGGAATAGTACCCCGAGTGCAGATATAGGTAGGAAGGACTAGTGCCCCATCACTGGCGTCAATGGGAGGAATGGTGCCCCATCACTGGCGTCAGTGGGAGGAATGGCGCCCCATCACTGGCGTCAGTGGGAGGAATGGTGCCCCATCACTGGCGTCAGTGGGAGGAATGGCGCCCCATCACTGGCGTCAGTGGGAGGAATGGCGCCCCGTCACTGGCGTCAGTGGGAGGAATGGCGCCCCGTCACTCGCGTCAGTGGGAGGAATGGCGCCCCGTCACTGGCGTCAGTGGGAGGAATGGCGCCCCGTCACTGGCGTCAGTGGGAGGAATGGCGCCCCATCACTGGCGTCAGTGGGAGGAATGGCGCCCCGTCACTGGCGTCAGTGGGAGGAATGGCGCCCCGTCACTGGCGTCAGTGGGAGGAATGGCGCCCCATCACTGGCGTCAGTGGGAGGAATGGCGCCCCATCACTGGCGTCAGTGGGAGGAATGGCGCCCCATCACTGGCGTCAGTGGGAGGAATGGCGCCCCATCACTGGCGTCAGTGGGAGGAATGGCGCCCCATCACTGGCGTCAGTGGGAGGAGGAATGGCGCCCCATCATTGGCGTCAGTGGGAGGAATGGTGCCCCATCTTTGCTGTCAGTTGTGGATGGAATAGTACCCCAAGTGCCGGATAGAGGTAAGCAAAGGGCCACATCCAGCCCCAGTACCACAGTTCGTAGACCACAGATATAAACAATAACAAACCTCACTAGATCTCGTACAGCGCATACTCCAGATCAGGCGCAGACTTCATCGGTTGGCTGTAAATTGGTGGCACGGGTTTCCAAGTAGGGGGTGGGCAGGCTAGTGGGGTGACAATAAAGCAGCTTGTAACTATAGGTAAGTTCAGGTGTTTTCTTACAGTTATTTCATTAATGTTGGCGGTTTATCGTGGGGGCAGGGTTGGGGGTTCGCGTTAATGCTCTGGCAACAGGATCTCTTTAAAATGTCCCCTACTTTTGCCGTTACAAAGAGTTAAATTGTCTGCAACAGGATCCCGCATCTGCCACTGTTTTTTAATCAATCTAGATTGTATTAGTAGCTTGACATAGCAAGCATACCCTGCTAACGTTGGGGAAGGTGGTGGTGGGGGTTCAGCATGCTGGATTTAAGGGCTGTCGACAGGACAGACCCATAATAACCGAAAAGACAAGTGTATTTCTGTGCGCCCTGTAGTCATTTTGCAAATAGAATGTGTTAGAAGTTGAAGGGGAGTCATTTGTCAGCTGTGAGCTGTGTAATTACCCCAGCAGCCGTCTTGTCATCGACCACCACTCGAAACAATATGGAATTATGATAATGTTACATCGAGCAGATTAGAATGTGCGAACGGGAGATGGAACCCAGGCAGGCATTTTTATGCGGACACCATAATTGTTTACCTCGGCTAATCTCCCGTAATTAAGCCATAAAAATAGCACTGCTTCGATAAATTATGCCGTCATTACAGTGGTATAAAATAAAACTGAACTATCACTGTTATGTTTGTAGATACCGTCACAGCGTCAGGCAGGTGCCAAATGGATCCGCCGTGGTGCCAAATGTATCATGGTATAGTAGATGATGGCCCTCTCATGCCAGCGATGGGCGGAAATGTGGGTTCTAATAGTAAGGAGATGGTAACGAGCATCAGTTGAGATATTGGTCAGGGCTGACGTGACTGGAGGTCTTATGTGGCTGGGTCATCTTCACGCTTGAGTGTGTTAAAGGTGAACTCCTCTCAAAAATGTTATTTCTTTGTCATGTATTGAGTTAGACTGCCACCTACAGGAGGATTGGATGCTGGTAAACAGAAAAAGTTTAAGCCGGCCCCCACTATAACCCCATCTCTACCCAGCATACATTGGTTTTTTTTTTGCTAGTGTCCAAGGAGGATGGACAGATTTTCTAACCAATTTTGCACTTTTTACTTCCTTTATGATTTAAAGCGGAGTTCCACTCACCCTGTCAAAAAATAAAAGTCAGCAGCTACAAAAACTGTAGCTGCTGACTTTTAAAAAAACAGCCACTTACCTGTCCCTCGGTCCCCGCGCTGTGTCCCCCACAGTTCGTTTCACCGGCCGTCCTGTATTCCATCTTCAGTGTGGGCACCCAGCTGTGATAGCTTGGGTACCCACTGCGCATGTGCGAGTAGCTCTGTGCTTCATGAATGGTCCTGTAGTCTTCTAGGACCTGTCACGTGTGCCACAAGACTACGGGGAGGGAGGGTAGAAGGACAACGTCCGCTTCCAATTGCCTAGGCGAACGCAGCGAAAATGGGAGCGGGTACCTGTCACTTACCTGTCCCTTGGTCCTGTGGTGTTTCCCCCGCAGCTCGTTTTACCGGCCATCCTGTATTCCAGGAGCCCGGCATCTTCAGTGTGGGCACCCGGCTGTGATAGCTTGCGGCTTCACAGCCGGTTACCCACTGCGCATGCGCGAGTAGCGCTGCGCTTCATGAATGGTCCCGTAGTCTTCTAGGACCTGTCACGTGTCCCATCTTCAGTGTGGGCACCCGGCTGTGATAGCTTGCGGCTTCACAGCCGGGTGCCCACTGCGCATGCGCGAAGTAGCTCTGCGCTTCATGAATGGTCCCGTAGTCTTCTAGGACCTGTCACGTGTCCCACAAGACTACAGGGAGGAAGGGTAGATGGACAATGTCTGCTTCCAATTGCCTAGGCGAACGCAGCGAAAGTGGGAGCGGGTACCTGTCACCTACCTGTCCCTCGGTCCCGTGGTGTTTCCCCTGCAGCTTGTTTCACCGGCCATCCTTTATTCCAGGAGGCCGGCATCTTCAGTGTGGGCACCCGGCTGTGATAGCTTGTGGCTTCACAGCCGGGTACCCGCTCTGCATGCGCGAGTAGCGCTCCGCTTCATGAATGGTCCTGTAGTCTTCTGGGACCTGTCACGTGTCCCAAAAGACTACAGGGAGGGAGGAAGGACACCTTCCGATCGCCTAGGCGATTGGACCGGAAGTGGGAGCGGGTACCTGTCACCTACCTGTCCCTCGGTCCCGTGGTGTTTCCCCTGCAGCTTGTTTCACCGGCCATCCTGTATTCCAGGAGGCCAGCATCTTCAGTGTGGGCACCCGGCTGTGACAGCTTGCGGCTTCACAGCCGGGTACCCACTGCGCATGCAAGAGTAGCGCTGCACTTCATGAATGGTCCTGTAGTCTTCTGAGACCTGTCACGTGTCCCAAAAGACTACAGGGAGGGAGGAAGTACACTAGGCGATTGGACTGGAAGTGGGAGCGGGTACCTGTCAAATTCCGGTACCCGCTCCCCGCCCCCCAAAGGTGCCAATCCTTAATGGGGAGCGGGGGAGTCGTCCTTAAAGCGGAACTTCCCCTTATGGGTGGCGTTACGCTTTAATAGCCTTTTAATTGCGTGCCGCCCGCCCAAAGTACATTTACTGTGGGTGGGCAGCACAGCCAGGCTGGATCACGTACATGTGCATTATCCAGTCTCTTCTGAGTTCTCGAGTACGCATGCGTGTGTCCCCCACCGACTGGCTACAGCACAATTTCATCAGCAGGTTGCAGCCAATGATTTTGGCTGTGGACTTGCCGATTTGGCTGTAGCCAATCACAGCACAGAGTCCTGTGTTTACAAGCACACTGGACTCTGTACACAGACCGCGGTATGGCTATTTCTTCTCCCTGAAAAGCAGGGAGAAAAACCAGCCAGATCTATGAGTAAAAGCAGAACATATTACACACATTACACATTTTTAGGCATTCTGTTAAAGTGGTTCTAAAGGCTAAAGGTATTTTACCTCCATGCAAACCCCAGCCCCCCCCCCCTCCCAATACTTAGCTGAGCCCACTCCGATCCAGCGACGTTCTCGGCAGCCTCTGCTCAGCCAGTGAGCCAATGAGGAGAGGAGGAGGGGAGAGTCACGGTTCTATGTGTCTCAAGGATGCATAGAGCAGCAGCTTGGGATGAAGCAAGCAGCAGTGCCCCCATTATACTTACCTGAGCCCACTTCAATCCAGCAACATTCTCTGCAGCCTCTGCTCAGCCAGTGAGCCAATGAGGAAGGGGGGGGGAGGGGGCGAACCATGGCTTTATGTATCTTATGGACACATAGAGCAGCAGCTTGGGAAGGAGCAAGCAACGGTGCCCCCAGGGCAAGTGGCTTTGCCTGGGGGCTGTGCTTGAGGAGGAAGAGCCAGGAGTGGCAGAGGGGACGTGAAAGGAAGAGGATCTGGGGCTGCTCTGTGCAAAATCACTGCACAGAGAAGGTAAGTATAGACCAGAGGTGGACTGACCATTTGGAAATTCGGGCACTGCCCGAGGGCCCGGGGTCAGTAGGGGGCCCCATGAGATGCCCCTGGTACCTTTTTCATAGGCTTTTTTTAGTTTGGACAAGGACACAGGGGCCCTATGATCCCCTATTGCCCGGGGGCCCCATGAGTTGTCAGTCTGCCCCTGGTATAGACATGTTATTTTAGGGAAAAAAAAAAAAAAAAACAAGCCTTAGTGTCACTTTACCCCCTGAAGTTAACCTCTTCACAGCCATTGTCATTAGTACAGTGACAGTGTACAGTATTATATCACTAGTGGTGTCAGTCAGTGTACCTCCTAGCAAGGATCTGTTAGTGCCAGATTACCCACCCACATCACAGCCCCCCCTATAAATCACTAATCACCCCCATTACCAGTATATCATCATTGCTCCAGTGTATATATACCATCATTTGTAGAAGCTATAACTTTCACACAAACCAATTAGTATACACGTATTGGTATTTTTTACCAAAGACGTGTAGCAAAATACATTTTGTACTAAATTTATGAAGAAATTTTATTGTTTTATCTATTTTTATTAAATAAGTTTTCAAACCAAAACTAGAAAATATTTTTTTTTTTCTAAAATGTTCTGTCTTTTTCATTTATATAATAAAAAATAAAAAACCCAATGGTGACCAAATACCACCAAGAGAAAGCTCTATTTGTGTGAAAAAAAAAAAAATTCTATAAATTTCATTAGGGTACAGTGTTGCATGACCGAGCAATTGGTGGTTAAAATAGCACAGTTCTGAATAGCAAAAAATGCCCTGGTCATGAAGGGGGTAAAACCTTCAGGATGTCAAGTGGTCAAAAGACTTCAGTCAAAATTCCTTGCTACATCGCTGCTTAAGTTGGTTTTTACATTGCAGCCATGTGAATTAGCATTTCCTCAACCTGGCTTTAGTACAACCTGCTGGGCTGAATGTGCAGGACTAGCCTGAAATGTGAACCTCAACCACTGGGCTCTGCATTAGTACATGGTAAAAGTTAGCCTCAGAATGCTTTCCAGGTCTAGAGCCATGGCACAGCCCCAGATTGTAAGCCTCTCTCTGAAGACTCACTTTAAGAGTCAGGCCATTCAGGCTATAGCATCAGGAGCTTCCTGATTATTCGCAATTCCTTTTTTGCCATTCAGCGTAGAGGAAGCACCACCCTGCTGCTGGTCCTGCTTGTAAACAGCACATGGAATTCCAGTCACCAGTCAGTTCCCATTAGCTGCCTACAATGACCTGGTCCCCTCTGGCTGCCCGACCTTCACCCGCACCAGTTTGTGAGTAACTGAAGTCTTGCCTTTCGTGGTAAGCCTAGTTGCGTTACCATTACATAGGTGCAATATGCGCATAGACATGGAGGGGACAATCCTGCTTCCACGGGTGACTCAGCCCATACTGCTCCAGTGATTCTGAGGGCATCTGCCAATATCCTCTGAGGAAATCAGCATCTCTTGTCTGGAACACCGTGCCCCCTATAGTTACAGGATCCACTTCATTGTAGTCCTGAGCCCTGTCTGGTGGGGCCGTGTCCCTGCCTGGTCCTTAAGGACCTTCATGTCCTGAAGAGTCTTGGATCCCACCTAAGAGTGTGCTGTAAATGTTACCCTTTGAGAGGGAATTTAAGTGGTGGACCATTCTCACTGTGGATTAACTGGTTTGCTACCTTAACAGGAACACGGCTAGACAGGTGCAGGTCTTGCTTACCTTTTACAGATTCTGTTGACAGGCAGATAGACTCTCTCCCAAGACCTGAGTTTGAATTGGCTGGCTCCACCCTCTGTCATGTGTTGGTAGTTACCTTAATCTATCAGATTGGTTAATTTCCTTCCAAACATATCCGTCCTCCACTAAGGTAGACCTCTGTTTCAGAGAGTGGGTTTAGCAAATGTACAGAGCCTTATTCTATACCGTAGTTAAGATGACTTGTTACAAGCATCTAAAATTCTGTCCTACATTGGTTTGATGTCCAAACAGATGTGCACAGGCACTTTGTAGGTGTCCTCAGGCCCTCTGAGCCTGACTTCCAATCAACCCATAAGCCTGAACTCTGCCAAACCCTCTGAAAAGTATTCTGCGTGTACGTGCACCCCTAGTTCTACAAATGGAGGGCTGATTGTTCATCCTGGCAGGTATTGAGTAGCTTGCCTCTTTGGCATTCAGGTGCAGATAGCCTCCCTTTTACCCCACAGGGTAATCCTTTGTTCTAGTGCTCCCAATAAATTGTTCCTCATTCAATTTCCTGTACTACTGCACAGGACACTGCACGTTCCTCAGTCTCCCTGGATCCCTCCCACTCTTGGACCTCTTGCTCCAATCCATATGTTATGCCAGGTTGTGGAACTATGCCTTATCTGGATCTACACTCCCTTTCTCAGGAAGACCCTTGTCCTTCAAGCAATAACAGTCCTTTGTGGTGCACAGTACCTCTCGTTCCCTCCACTTCAGTTGAATTCCCTGACCTATATGGTCAACCAAGACCAGTGCTAACTGTCCCCTATTATATAAGCACCAGGATCCCCATCGCCACCTGGGCCAACCTGCTACTTTTCAGAGCATCTGCCCTTTTGTTTAGTAGTGCCCCCACTGTGGGATGCTCAGATGGACCCTGTAAAGAGCTTTATGGATCTTTGTAGTCAGCACCTTCCCGAAGGGCCCAACTCCTACACAATCCAGCCAGATCGGGTCATGCTGGGTTCCACTGTTGACAGCCCCCTGTCGCCAGTGGGAAATGAGGTTTATCTTATGCCCTACTGTGTGTACCATTTGTTCACCTCTTCTCTTCCATCGAAGTAGTGAGAGTGGTGGGAGAAAAACGCCTTCAGAGTAGGATTTTGGTTCTGAGCAGGCCTATACGACTGTGTTTGTGGATAAGGTAGTCCTTGCATAACCCTTCAGCCTCTCTAGGTAGTTGGGGTAGTTTTTTACCTCTGTTCTTGGAGCATTTCAGTACCTCAACCCACAAGACTATGGTCTAATTACTCTTAACAAACCGTTTCCTCCACATTAAGGAAACTTGCCTTGACAACGTTTCCTCTTGAGACTGTGATGGAATACCATCTAGGGGTATGCGTGTAACTCATATCCTACATGTTGGACAGATCTTCACTGCAGAGACTCTGCCCCCTTGGATTGTCAGAAGGGAAATGCCCTAGCTTCCTGCTGCAGAAACTCTCTGATGGGTACAGAATGGGGTTGATTAAAGGCAAATAGGCTGTGCACTGAAAGTGCAGTTGCTCTAGATTTGAGGGGAACATGCAAAGAAAAGAACAGCATTTTTGCTTGCACATGTTTGGATGAAAGAAATCAGCAGAGCTTCGTCTCATTTCAGAGCTTCCCCTCGGATATAAAGCAACTGCACTTGCAGTGCACTTAAATTGCACAGCCTATTTTGCGTTTAGTAAATCAACCCCTATACGTCCAGAGGACTTTGTGAGACATTTTCACCTTGGCATTTGTCTTTCTTTGGCTGATCAGCAGCCTCTTGGGAAAGGTCCTCCAGATACCTTAACTTGTGCCTCGCCTTTAGTCAGGTAAATGCTCTCAACGCTTCATCTAACATTCCTGTCTCTTGCTGCACAGCTGTGGTTGATTCGGTGGACCTGGTGGGATTAGGAACCTCTAAGACTCATTGCTGTGGATGGGGTTAGGCAAGTTCTGCAGAATCCTTCTGCAAGCCCTAGTGTCAGGATGTTTTACTTTCCTCCTCAGTTTCTTTTGGTGGTTCCAATTTCACCAGTCTGGGGCTGAAGTTTGATTTTCATTCCTGCCTACCCTTTTGGTGATGTCTTGCTTGCACCCTTCTCCTTCTGTCATGTTGACTTGGTAGAATAAAACCCATGAGTTCTCTAGTGGTCTCTGGGTCACTTCACACCATTGTGGGCTATTGGGATGTACTAATACTGTACATTGTTTGATGTACCTTGCTTAAAGAGATTGGTTGTCTGATCTCTTTTAGTAATGAACTTCTATCCCCTTGAACCTAACGGCTACACTTGCCAGGCCTCCAGCCTTAATACTGTATGTAGATTGGCTAT